TTTTATTTCGCAACGAAGAGACGTCTTAAACAGAGCCTTAATGGTAAAATCTATAAGACGTCTCACATTTTTGCGTATGTTTTCCACTCTGATATGGTACATTCCTATTTTCTTTCATTTAAGGTATGGGAAATAAAGCCGTGGAATAACTGTGAAAAAATAAAACATACCACCATATCAGGCTAGGTGTGAAATTGGATATAATGCAGTTGTCGAAAAACTCATTAGGTGTCAGCGCCATCTGTACCGTCGACGTGGCACTATGGTCCACAGACTGGATTTAACGGAACTTTATTCGAAAATGCACTGCACCGTAAAGGTGTTGGATCTTATGTTTTTTGGTTTGCTGATTTCATTTTACATCTTAGTTTAACAAAATATTAACATCCTGACCGAGAAACTTAACTTCAAATGTGATTTCTGGCGCTTTTAAGACTGCAGATTTTTTCCACCCTATTTTGACATGTATAAAAATAATAACAAAAGTGTCTCTCGGTCGAGATCAGATAATTCTCAGGTATTTTTTCAAAATTTTTGTAGATTTTCAAGCATTTTGAATGAGTATGGTGGAAAAAACTTGGAAGCTATATCGATGTAAGTACAAGGGAACAAACTGCTGGTCGAAATAGTCTTCAAGTGTTTAAAACTCATAATTTTCGTACATTTTCAAGCATTTTGAATGAGTATGATGGAAGAATGTTGCAAACTATATCGATTTTAGTGCAATGGAACAAACTGCTGGTCAAAATACTCTTCAAGCGTTTGAAACTCATAATTTTCTTATATTTTTAATTTTTTTTTTTTTTTTAAATCACAATGATGGAAAAATCTTGCAAGCTGTATCGATTTTAGTGCAATGGAACAAACTGCTGGTCAAAATACTATTCAAGCGTTTGAAACTCAAAATTTTTGTATATTTTCAAGCATTTTGAATGAGTATGATGGAAGAATCTTGCGAACTATATCGATTTTAGTAGGATGGGACAAACTGTTGGTCTAATCATCTGCCACCCATGTCCATCGCAGATACGCAATTTTCATAAGAAGAGCTCCATTTCACAAATAGGTACAAAGAAAATCTTGTTCAAAATATTTATTCATAATAATTTCTTTATCACATCAATACAATTATGTAACCTTATAAGTGCAACAATCAATAATAACTAAACATAAATGTCACTCACATACCTACGTAATTACGTCATATATACCGGGTGTCCGTAAAGTAACTGAAAAGTGGGTATAATTTTTGAACAAAAGAAGGTCGCGGTTTGTGGCATTCTTCATCATCCAGAGGGGGAAATTTTTCGATGGGGGGTTTTTCATGGTGGACCCTCCTGGGGGGCCCCAAGGGGGGGGGCAACTTTCAAAATTCAAATAGCAACCCCCATTTTTTTAGACATAGTTAAAAAGAACTTAAAAGACAAGAAAAATGACGCAAATAAAATTAAAATCGGTTCACTTGTTCAAAAGTTACAGCCGGTCAAAATTTTAAATTTTAAATTTCAAAAAATCACCGTTGAGCTCCAAACTACCGAAAAAACAAAAACAAACCTGGAATGAAAACTTTGAAAACTGCCCTTTAAGGCAAGGAAAAACAACTGACGTTGTCACAAGTTTGGATGGCATCGTTTCAAAATAAAATTTCGGAAAATTCAACATGGCGGCAAATTTGAGGAAACGCGAATAATGAAAATTCCAGAAACCGTTATCTTTCAAATACCCTCTAGTTTAAGGAAATCAATGGTATCAACTTTTTTTCCTTTATTTGGCCAAGTAAGAGCAATAATTTGCTGACTTTAAAGTTGTCAAGCGGGACGCCTTCAATCGTTGGAGTATGCGACATCACATGCACAGGATTAAGTGTGCTGTCAAAAAATGAAGCCGATGTGAAAAAGCGCTCCGCCTTTGGGATACTTTAGTAATGTTCAAGGTCCTCATCCTCAAAAAAGAAGAAAAGAAAAATTGAGCAATTTTTTTATTATTATTAACTTTAAAGTGGAAGTTCTTATACCTGATGCTCTGTTATTCCGTCAAATGTTCAAAGTTATCTTCATTTTGCTGCAAACAATAGTAAATTTACAATAGTAATTGCCAACTAAATCAGAACGCAGAATGATCAAGAGAACTTAGCATACTGATTTCAGATTCGTAAATAGTGTTACCGATCAGATATTGCATCAGATATTACCTAAAACATCGGTTCCTCAAATCGTAGGGTTGAGGCTGTCAATAAGATAATCTCAACTCAGATAATAATCAAGAGTAGAACGGCGTTTTCGGAATTGGAAGCGTAGCAGATATCCTTCTTGCCAACTTGGAGTGCTAGGAATTAGAGAATCACAATTATTCTTGCGTTTTCAATTTTTTAGATAGAGAAATGTCAAAAATAACAACCGCCCCTACCCCATCAGGATATACCATGTTTTTTTTGGCTCATCTAGTTTGTGGGTAAAAATTGCTTAATTTCTCTTTTCTTCTTTCTTGAGGATGAGGACCTTGAACATTACTAAAGCATCCCAAAGGAGGAGCGCTTTTTCACATCGGCTTCATTTTTTGACAGCACACTTAATCCTGTGCATGTGATGTCGCATACTCCAACGATTGAAGGCGTCCCGCTTGACAACTTTAAAGTCAGCAAATTATTGCTCTTACTCGGCCAAATAAAGGAAAAAAAGTTGATACCATTGATTTCCTTAAACTAGAGGGTATTTGAAAGATAACGGTTTCTGGAATTTTCATTATTCGCGTTTCCTCAAATTTGCCGCCATGTTGAATTTTCCGAAATTTTATTTTGAACCAATGCCATCCAAACTTGTGACAACGTCAGTTGTTTTTCCTTGCCTTAAAGGGCAGTTTTCAAAGTTTTCATTCCAGGTTTGTTTTTGTTTTTTCGGTAGTTTGGAGCTCAACGGTGATTTTTTGAAATTTAAAATTTAAAATTTTGACCGGCTGTAACTTTTGAACGAGTGAACCGATTTTAATTTTATTTGCGTCATTTTTCTTGTCTTTTTAAGTTCTTTTTAACTATGTCTAAAAAAATGGGGGTTGCTATTTGAATTTTGAAAGTTGCCCCCCCTTGGGGCCCCCCAGGAGGGTCCACCAAGAAAAACCCCCCATCGAAAAATTTCCCCCTCTGGATGATGAAGAATGCCACAAACCGCGACCTTCTATCTTTTTTTGTTCAAAAATTATACCCACTTTTCAGTTACTTTACGGACACCCGGTATATATGTTTTATTTATACATATATATAAACTATATATATATTTGCGTTTGTAAGTATGTGTGATTTGGAAGACCCTTGTAATTATGTTGTTCATAAGAGGAGTGAGTAATAAGTGCTCAGTGGAAAGCACTCAAAATCATAAAAAAATTAACATTAAAACAAACTACAAAACTAAAAGTATTTACTCAAAAAGTACCCTACAACAGTTGTATTCCTTATGATATACCAAAAACATAGGGAATATAAACTTGCAACATGTTAATTTGTCTTCTCTATGTTCACATTGTAAAAACGTCATGCTCATAATAATTATGAAAAAAAGAACTCGAACTTTTTTAACCTCTCATCAAAATATTGATTTTCTCCCAGGAGAAAAAAATGAACATCTACATATATTTCATATGATACATTGTGATCTATCCTGCAAAACACGGAAAGCATCATTGCGTATTTTACATTTCAATCGCTATCAAAGCTGTGGAGAACTTTCTCCCTGTTGAACACTTTTCCCCCTCTAAAACTATCGAACGGATTTCAACCATCGTTTCATGTATCAAAAATAAAATACCAAATCTGCACAACCGATAGTTTCCTAAAATGTTTACTAGGTTCAAATAACTCTTCTTTCTGAAACATTTAATCAGTACCTCGTATGTCGACATATCATATCAATGTAAATTAATTACATTTTTTCTATACTCTGTCCCATCCAATTTTCCGGCATACATTCTTCTGTATTCCTTGCTGCGTCATTCGTCTAAGAGTTTAGAGTCTCTTTGAATTTTCATTTTAAAATCTAAAAATAAAACCATGCTATAGACATTTTCAATCGTAAACCTCTCAAATAAATTTTAACAACTGGTTTGGTTTAGTGTCTCTATAGAGACATATTTTCTACCCTAATGTAACTCAGAAATTATTTGAGCACCAATTCGAAAATATCAGTATCTCTGTTGCTCATTATGATATCAGAGAAAGGAGGACAAATGATGAAACTTCAACCTTTTTTTTTTCTTTCTTTGTTTTTGTTTTTGTTTTTTGGATGAAAATACTTCCTCTAACCGCAAGGGGAGCGAGAAAGGAAAAACCCTTTAGAATTGTAATTATTTCTTTTTACGCATTTTTTCATGCATCAGTTAAAAATGAATATTTATATCATTCCTAAATGCACTTTGAAATTACAATCTCTGACTAATATCTTAGGATGTGAAACAAAAGTTTTAAAATTATTATATGAATCAACAAAATTAAAATTTAAACAGTTTTAAACAACAATATAATTAAAATTAAAAAACCTTGATTTTGAAAATCAATCGGTAAGATATGTTTCTTGGGTGACATTCATGGTATACTTAGAGCAACGCTTCCTAATCCTGTTATTACTTTTAATCCCTAAAATGTGTAATCAACTAATCCATCAAAATGCAATTACTCATCCAATCATAACATAAATAAATCAATTCGAAAGCACATTTATTATTATGCTATCAAGAGATAACGAAAATCGAAGAGGTAGTTTAAAATCTTTGTTCCAAATTTCCAAAATTCATGTAGATTTTCATCAGTTAATCTTAGAGCTTTAAATCCCATGAGAGGTGTTTTCTCAAATGTGAGAACATGGATTTTGCTCGTCGTCAGTTTAAGAAGAAAGTAAATAAATTAAATAACAGCAATTTCATAAACACCTTATTATCGCCTTTTACAAAGAGCAGATTATTTTTATGAATATGTCGCGAAATAATAAAACATAGATCCTTAAATGAAACTTTGCTTTTCATGATTCCTATTATTTTGTTTTATGAATTCCATTAGCTACTGCTATGAGGGTCCTTTAAAGACCAAGTTACCACGTTTCATTTTCTTTTCTTTTTTTCTTTTTTGTCAATCAAAATAATCAACTAAGCGTACACCTAGATCGAAACATAGCTCTTGTCACAGAGGACACACAAGCAAGGGTTTTATATTTAATTGGCACCTCTTGTTCAGATAAATAAAAAGAAATCCTTTAACGGACCAAGAATCAAATTGCTCTCTAAAACAAGTAACAGGAATCACATCTCTACGAGAAATAAATCTTTAGACCAAGAAGTCTTCTTAATATGTAAGTGTAAATAATATGTCTCTCTCGCCAAATTATTGCACGTAGTTGGTAGAAGGATCAAAGAGGTTAAATTTACAACAGTCTCTAAATCAATATTTACATTATTTTTCACGGGAAAACTAATGAATGAGTGGATCAGTAAAAATTCAGGCTTTGCAAAGAGATACAGTTACATGTTGTACGTGGCAACTTCTGGCTCGCAGTGTTTTTTTCGTATCGAAATTTTGCATTTTTAAAAATCCCCTCCGTCCTCCCCCCCCCCTTCCCTTCATTTTAAAAATTCCCGTTTCTTGCAGATATCGAAGGCAAAGTTGAAAAATGTGTCCATTGCAACATTTGAAAACCTCCAATTATTCTTTTTATTTTAAATGAAAACACACCAACATTTTCCCCTAAAATGTTCTAGAAATATTTTGGACTGAGTGATAAAAATGTCTACGAAATTTTAAAAAAAAATAGGTATTGAATGTACTCTCTCTTAAAGAAAAGAACAGCGTAAGCAAAGACTTGTAACATTGCAAATGGTATGTATTTTTCAACTTTAGCCAGCCATTCATATGCAAGAGTGGCGAAGCCTGAATGATCGATTATCGATATTTCTCCATTTGAAACTATGGTAAAGAATCGATTACCTTGGTGTTTAATGCAAACACCCCATGTTTATCGATCCTTTTCTGTAGGTTTAAATGGCAGATCAGTCGATACGTCTCTAAGCACACCGAACCACCGATAGGTATGCAATCAAACGTCGGCTAACCTTAATACTTGCTAGAAAAATGTTAAACTCTTGAGGTCTCAAATTAATGCTGCGGCCAAAATCATCGCGCAGGATTAATTTACTCGTCCACAAAAGCTCTGAGCTCATTCCTTCAATTTTTCAATAATTTTTTCATAAGAGCCAACCGTGAACCTTACTCAAGGCACCATGTTAGCCAACTACAAGATTATTGACATTGATTGACGAAGAGCTGAACAAAAAAGGCAAAGGGAAATTGAAGTGGTCACATTATAGCGGAAGCTGATGGTCGCAATGGGAGAAGAAAATAAGTGATTAGACTAACCAACGGCAACTCATGAGACTCCATAGTTAGTACATTATGTCCCCCCTAAGTCTATTAGAGCCAAGCGTTTCAACCAATAGGATCGCTTCATTTCCCGTTTGTCTTCTTTGTCTATAAATTTCAATAATCAGCCCGCTACTCTCATTATGAGTGTTATAAAGTATCCGAGCTCTTCCACCGAGTGGCACCAGAACTTTTTACAACCCCTTATCTCAATTGCTTGGGACCCTTCCTCCCCCCTCTAAAAAATAATAATCAATTGTATTTGACAACTTGCACACCTAATAAAAACTAAGAGAAAAAATGGTTTTAAATAAAGCGACTATATATCGTATTATTAACATAATATACATACTTAGTAACAATGCAACATAAATATTCGAGCTTTGTTAGAAACATTTTGGAGAATCGAGAGTAAATTTATTCATGTGATCTGCAGACTGATTGTTGAATCTCATGCCAGCGTGAAAAGATGTCAAAAAACTGTACATTAAGTTGCCTAATTAGGGCCCCGCCTTGTCTTTTACTTAGATACCGTGTTGACACAGCAAGAAATAGTTTCAACAATCGCCCCGCTGAAAACAATTGATCACTAACTCTTTTGCTTTCTTCACTAAAATTCCGGGTAAACTCTCAAAATACTTAAACTGCAGGGAGAATAATTCTTTTTTAATGCTCCTCAGTGAAACATTGATCATTATTATCTAACAACAAAATTCTAGTCAAGGGTGTAATTGTCTTCCAGCTTTCATCCCGAAGTCATCTGAAAAATGATGTGCGTAGTGCATAATTCCGCATCTTGAAAAATTAAGTATACCTTAATAATTGAACATGCCGAAAAGGGCAGAGATCTTTGATAAATCAAATTTCAAATTAAATATCTAAATCTAATATAAAAAATAGCGCTCTCAAATAAAATAGTACATATCACTGGTTGGGAAATTTTTTGAAGTGCATGGTAACTTGTAAAATAACTTTTAGTAAAATAATTTTCAACAATACCCTTACCTACCTCCTTAAATAAATTCTCTTAATCGACACTTTCATCAACAATTTCTTTAATAAATTTTTCCAATCATCAACAAATTCAGCGAGAACAAATCAAGCTTGGCCAAAAAATTTGAATTCGAATTTTATCCATCTTACCTATCTTTCAGGCTTTTATTTTTCTTTCTAATAGTTTGGATAGGAGCCTGAAGACCTACGTACCTACTTACCATTTCTGTAGTATTACATTTTTCCTAAAGCATATACTTATAAATGCTATTTTCTACACTTTGCCTTCAAATATTTGAGTCAAAGATAAGTTTCTTGTCCAATTTCTTGGTTTTACGGTGACTTTGTCCTTGTCGTTATTTTTTAACACTTAGAAAGGGCTGCTCATACCTTGCAGTCTTTTAAAAAAATAACAATCATCTAGTCGACCTCCTTTCTCTAGCTGAACGAAAAGCCGCATAGAAATTACAATTTCAGGAAACAATAATATGTTTACGGGCATGGGTTCTACTTTTTCCAACAAACAATCCCTCCAGTATGCTATGTCAGCCCCAGTACTTTCGCAAATAAAACATGACTGTCAAAAACAGGTACAGACCTACTAACCTAATGTAAAGAATATGAAATAAGTACCTAAATAATAAATACATTCATTTTATGTAGGTATATTAAAGCCAAACAGCAGTTGCAAAATGCATCAGCCTCTTTTTTGTTTTGTTTTGTTTTTTTTTGTTTTTTTTTTTCTGTGGGAAATCACCACTTAATTAGACAGGTACTTTGCTGCTTTGTTCCTCGATCAAGCGCTCAACCGATGGAGCGCGTATTGACTTCACCCTACCACTTGAGTTCTAGAACATTATAGGGTTGCAGCAATGGAACGGTCGAAGATTTTCTCAAAATTTTTTTTAATTACCCGACAATACATCCGGTAATGCAATCTATACTAATTTTATATAAATTAGCAGGCTAAAATTTACGTTGCCGCGAGATGTACAGTTTTCTTAGTATCAGCTCTGTGGGTTGGGTGCACTTTTTTCCTGTATTTATCAGAAGAAATTTGGCAACATCAAAGTATTCATAAGCTGCTTTTTCGCAGGCTACTTCAAAGTGTACAAAAAAAGACGAAGAGCCTAAAGAGTTGACATAAGTTGTAGAAATAAGGTGTACATATTCCGGAGTGGGGCGCCTTCCATTCGAGTGATACATCTCGCTTTGTCATTAAGTTAGTTTAGTTGCGTGACCCAACTTAACCCAACCTGACTCTGTAGCGATCGGTTCCCGAGCTTTGTGACCTATCAGAACGATAAAAGTCCTGTATTTTCATGAACAGCCGCAACAAAATATTCCAACGTTTTGAAATTGCTTTGTTTGTATTGTTTTCTTCAAGGAAACTTATCAAATTGTGTCTCTGTGACTTTTTGTTACTTTGTAGGTTTGGTAGGTGATCACCATCTCGGCTCATGCATCGATCCATTTTTTTGAAATTTGATGTCAAATGGTAGTATTTAACGGAGAGCTCGAGTCCAATTTTCAAAATTATAAAATCCAAGAGGGGGAACTTGGCCAGAAATGCTATCTCGGCTGTTATCAGAGTCACTTTTTGAAACTTGGTTCATTAATGAAACTCTATACTAAATCTACCTTTAATAAAAATCCTCCAAGGCTGATGCATCTTCTCTCTTATTGTTAATTATTTTTTTCAATTTTTTATTTTTATTTTGTTAAAAATACTCTTTTGAGAAATCAATAACAACGAAGCACCATTTAAAACTTGTTGCTGTGTTTTATCTATCATGTATACTGCGAAACTCACTATAGGTCATGACCAAGGCGGTCCAACTCAGCCAAGAGGAAGTCAATATCACTCTCTGTCACAGCAGCACTTGAAATAATGTTGCGGAAGAAATTGGGGGTGTCCTTCTCCGGCTGATATCCTATCATCAAAGTTCCGGCTTGCATCATCCTACCTTTTAAAACTGGCGTTATCTGTGACAACAAACACACAAATAAAAATTTGAAAAAAGAAGTAGGAAATATGGATAAGTGGGGAGTTTATTAGGCCCTGTCCACACGAGCGCGGTTCGAGGAACTTATTCGACGAACTCCTCAGTTTCCCGAAACTTGTTCCTTAAAACGAGGGATGCTGTCCACACGAGTTCGCCCGAACTGGAACCGGAACTTTAATAAAACTATACAACTGTTGCAAAATAATAGATTACAGTAGCCACAAGAGAAACAAAAACAAATGGAAAGACATAAAGGACGTAAAAAACAAAAAGAAAAAATTCACAACAAAAGAAACATAGAAGCTGGGAGCACGGGGGAAGTTCCGGGGTTTGGAGGAATAAGTTCTAGCCCAGCTAAAACTTGTTCCGGGAACAAGTTCCCCGAACCAAGCTCGTGTGTACAAAGGCCTGTTGCCTTACCCAAGTAGCATTTTTCAACGGAAAATAACATTTTTTTTTGTTATACTAGAGGGCTCCGCCCCCTGGCCGCTCCGCGGCCCAACCCCCTCGTATATTCTGTCAATTCGTTATGAAAATATCACTTATTTTTTTTTAATTTACATTATTCTCGTAAATTGTATTAATATTAATACTGCTGAAGTTCTGTTAAGTGCTTATTCATTCAAAAGATCATCTTCAATTTAGCTAAAAACTTACTTCAATTAAGGTTGGAGTTTTAAAAAAAGGTGAATAATCAGTTTGAAACGGTTTATATGGGATAAAATAATATGGATGGAAAGCAAATAGGATAGAATATAATATAATATAAACGAAATATAATAGGTTTGTCATTAATAAAACGGGATGTATTTATATTAACCTTGATAAAAGGCCACAGGTCGGTTTGATATTTAAATTAAAGAGTGGCGGTGATGCGTAACAATTTTTGGATTTGCTGCTGCAATTCCCGAGTAGTAGTGATCGCCATAAATTGCGATTTAATCGGAGAATATATCGCGATTTTATCGACGTCGCGATTTATTGCAATATTATCGGA